TATATATATATGTATGTATAAATAATTATATATATATACTATTATAATCTATTATATACTGGCTTAAAGGCCCCAGCTCAGATGCCAATGTGTTGACGCAATTCCCCAAAATCCGATAGCCAAAGAGCCAGAGCCAGAGAGAGAGAGAGAGAGAAAGAAACCGCAAAAACTCGAGTCTTCAGCAGATTTCGGGGCCCCAACCCCAACTTCCGTCCATAGCAGCGAAGGCAAAGTAGTTCCATGATGTTCCGTGCATGCTCGTACCTACTTTTTTGTCACCCTCTTGATATCTCTGTCTCTCTCTCTCTCTCTCGGACTTACCAGCTTATCTGTCTCATTGTGCAGGGTTTTCTTATGTTTTCTTGACACCTGCAATCACTTTTGCCAGTATTTCAAGATATGTTCCGTGTAGTGTAGGGTGTCTTGGAGGGCCAAAATTTCGAGTTACGCTTGGCATCCATGTGAGCCCCTCCCGTCACCATGGTGTCCCTGGAACATGCACACATACGCAGCTGTGTCACAGTGGCGTCAGGGAGATTTCAAAACCTCCATATCCATAGAGCCTCAGCCACAACTGGTCAGCTTCTACCCGAGAGGGTTGGAGAAATACGACCAAACATTTAGAAGGGATGACCAGAAAACATCTCATTTGGAACATGTTAGGGCCCCAGTTGGCCGATTCAATGCTTTTGATCCATAGATTTCACCCCACTGTCCCTGCTGCAGAGTTGCAGAGTAGGATTGGATCCATCACAGGCGATGCCTTCTTTGCTCAGTTGGAAATATGGAACTTTTGTGCCATCCAGTGACGTAGCAAAATATTGCCTCGCCGGGAAATTGGAGAGGGCCAGGTGGCCTGGAATTGCCAAAGCTCAATTAACATCAAGTAACACACAAACATTGTAACATGATACATGAATTTGAAATCTCCTTCCCAAAGAAACACAAAGCGACCATCCTATCAAGGAAACAACGGGAAGCTGTGTTTCATTCCTGGTCCGAAGAACGGGTATGACCGGGTATGAATCACTAGGCATGACTAAGGCACACCGCGTCCAACGGAAGAGTTGGGCTCTTCCGTTGGAGTTTGGAGCAATGAAAGGATCTTCCACCAAAATGGCCAAGAAAATCATTTCACCAAATCATCTGTATCCTCTCATTTGGAATCTAGGCGGACCCCTCTTAGCTCAGTTGGTTCTTGATTTGGCTGTGGCAACATTTTTGAAATTCTGGAACATGTTTGTGCGCATGGCTTCTCCGGGAATTGAGTGATCAAGATTTCGGGGGTTCATAATGGTGCAACCATTTTGAGTCCCAGTGTTCCGACCAAGAGATAGACACAGCATCAAGCATCAGCTGCAGCATTGCTGGCAGGTGTCTGCACTTCTATGTCATCTGATTTGAAGAACGACGGCAAAGTCTTCAAAGGCTGCATGCTTGGCAGCTTTCCTGCCAAGGTGTCGTGTCATTACTCGAGGCCACCAGGTTGGAGGCCAGGGTGGGTGATGGTCTAGTTTCAATCCCCTGAAAGATATTTGCTAAAATGATTATGGCGAGTAGAGTGCGGAAAAATGAAACACACTTCCATTACATATATTAAATCCACTTTAAGCATCATTGAATCATGTGCAATCCCATCAAGCACCATTGAACAAAATATCATTAAACATAGTGTACAGTATATACCCAAGTGACTTCATTGCTTTCCCCGCCAAGGATAGTCTCAATACGTTGAAGCAGCTAAAACACCTTTTGGATTGGCGTCCGCTTGTCAGACCGTAGCCTCCATCTACACATTGGAGAACCCCTGCCTAGCTTGTCAGATATCTCTGTTGATAGAATATGTCCCTACTGAAATCTCATTTTGCAAAGGGAAAGTCATGATTCAAGTGATTTTCCTAGTGAACACCGGAGTTCTCCATTTCCATGTTTGTAAACTGAACATCAGGCAGCTTGCTCGTCCCACTCCCTCATCTCGAAGTGACCTAAAGAGTATGTGCATATAACTTATTCAGCCGATTGAAATAACAACCAAACATTGCATTGGGATTGGACGTTTCAAGCTAAAAATGATTTGTCTTTACAGTGGAATATCTTCATAAATCCCAATTGGATATATCCCATGTTTACAACTGTTAAAAAATATGGATTATATATATATATATGATTATATATGGCTACAGTAACTACAGTAACATTCCACAAAAAATATTTGCGAATTGCAAATATCGAGCCATCCTGGAGCCCCGAAAGGCTGTGTTCAACTTCTAGTTCTCCCTGGAGGCCGTAAAATACGTGTGAACTCCAGCCACCTGGAATCAGTGTAAATGGTTGTTAATACATAAAATATATATATATATATATATATACATGTCAATATCATTCATATTCCAGAAATATCATTTGACATATCCCATAATGCCATGAATAATGATGATGAACCATTACTAGCCTAAATTAATATACGTGAAGGAATGTTCTTGTATGAACCTTTGGGGGGTTGCACTTCTATGACAAACCATGGGCTCCCCAGAGACAGCCCCAAAATGGTGAAGCCTTACCAAAGGCTACACCCATTGAACATGGAGCGCCAAAAATACATACAAATAACATAAAAGAACCATATATAGTATATATCCATATATCATCATATATCATGTTCATTCATATTCAATAAGACATCTTCCAAACAATTCAGGCTTCTGATTCCATTCAGATCGTACACCGCCACCTCCTCAGTGGCTCCTGCACAAAGGTCTTCCACCGTCATCAGAAACAGCGAAGACGGGCGGGTGTAGCCAAATACCGTAACCTCAGCGAGGCTTGGAAAAGGATGGACCCCTTCGTGGACCCCTGAGGCGATGGAATCAGGCGGAAGAATCTTGATATTTTTTTGCAGGAAAAATATGTATCATAAAGCTTCCACAATAATCAAACATGGCTGCGAAATTGCACATGCTGTGCGATGATGTCCCTATTTGAATGTTCATTTATAGTGGTTTTCCCATTTGCCAGGTTTAGTTACCGCAGGGAGCTCCAGGCCATCCCCAAATCCCATGGTTTATTACATGTTAAGCCCTGCTATGGAAAATCAATGAAAATCACGTGTTCAAAAAGATAAATCATCGAACTACCCATAGGCCATGGCTTCCATATATATTAAATTAGCAGAGGATTTTTCTACCCCCATCTACTGGAACAATCGCATGCCGCGCGACCCAGAGCTCATCGCTGTGATCCGCCTCCACTGCTGCGAGAGAACAGCTTTCCATGCCCAAGCCCTCCTCGCCCCGGTTGATCCAGGAGCCGTCCTCGGAGCTTTTTTCTTCCAGTCACATTCCCAAAAAAACAACAAATGATTCACCAACCATTCACCCAAATTTTGATATGGTATATCAATGTATATCACATGTCATTCCAAAATATAGATAAATAGGAATCATAGGAATTATTCCATTATAATTTTCGTAGGCTTGATTCTTGAAAGTGGATAATTCGAATGTGATCATCCCATATCAAATCGGTGGTTCCATGATGATCTAATTTCTATAGGACAATCACCTAAAATGTACCTGAATCAAACACGTTTGAAACATGGTGCCGATTGAGCCAGAATTCTTGGTCAATGCACGTCACTTTTTTATTTGGGGGGAATTCATAATTTTGACCCAGACCGGCAACGGCCTGCGCAACCACTATTACTGGGTTTTTATAGTGGTGACTGTCCAGTGCTTGTTGGACAATCATTGACAATGATGATCGATGATGGATACTGGAAATCAATCTGGGCAAACGATTATGTTTTGAATATGTTCAAAACAAGACAAATGCATACAAATGCCAATTCTTGTGGTGTGTCCAAGAAGAACCATCATTTATGGTCAGGTCGTCTTGAGGTCGTTATCATAACTTATCTATAACTAAATTCACATGGCAGTTACAAGGATCATTACATTCATTAATCCTGGGCAATCAAGGAGTTTGGTTACACGATGCTATATGATCAAACCACATTTGTTTATAATTATACCCTTTCCGTGGCTGCCGACGTGCTTCCTGAAACAAATGACAAAACACACACACAAACTCTCAACGCAGCAAATGTTCCCGCGTGTGGGCCTAGAAGTGACGAGAAACACCTTATACTTTCACTATATTAACGGGTCCGTGTGCGCCTAGTGAGCCTTCCAAATGCGTTCAAATCAATAAACATTCCCAACAACTATGTTGCAAATCCAAACCCTCAAAACTACATCAAATCACCATGAGCCAAGCATCTTTGTACTCCCAAAACATCAACTTCGTCTTTACGTCTTCCTCTGTGCCAGTAGCTCCATCTTGGAGCAAGGGTCCATGTGTTAAGAAAACTGATTCTACGGCTACGGGGCAGCCTTTTAGGGCTTCCAAGAACTGCTGAAACCCAAAACACGGACTTTTTTCCATCACAATTGCCAATTGGGGTAGAGTGGGGTTCTACAGCATGGTGGCCAGAAATGATCAAAAACAGTGAACAACATCCAGCAAAACAACTCCACTATTCAACTGATGGAGATGTCATGTCAAGTCAAGGGGATGCCAAAGGAGCACCTTGAAGTTGAAACCTTTTTTCCACCATCAAAGCAACAAAAACCTCAACGAGTTCCTCTGAAACGCTAGGATTTGCTCAAGGCAAAACCATTCCCAGCAGGTTCCTTACATTCAACTCTGAGATCCTAATCCATGGTGAGATCTGGCCGGCGCATTCAGCACCAGGTCCAACATACGGTTTTTGCCAACATGAACCAACTGAGGCAAGCGTCCAAAATACTGAGCACCAAATAATTTCGCGTACCACAGCTATCTTCCAGTGACTCCGAAGCTGTGGGTGCAAACAGGACATCCATCTTCCCCAGGTCCCCGCTGAAGAAGCTGTCGATGGAGATGGACAACAGGGAGCCCTGGTTGAGCCATGAGCCATGTTGAGCCACTTTGGTTTTCGAAGCGGGGAAGTCAATGGGGATCATCATTCAAGATAAGGTGGAAAGTAACACGCCTGCAAGCTGGTATGATGCTGATGATGATGATGGTACTTGCTTTTTATAATTACTCATTGTTTTTTAAAAAAATAAAGTGCATAACAATAAATAAATATATAAATATAATTAAATGGTTGCAAGTCAAAAATCGGGTATGGATCGCTCCGCTGTGATCCGTACTCTGGATCGGGAGTGCTTACGTAAGGTGCCTGATCCGTACCCTTTTGTAAGGGCTCATCATAGCATACAAACTGTGCTGATGCTCCTACTTGCTATTACTTCTCCTCCTGCTACTGTTGCTGCTAAGAATGTTGTGCTTTTCTTGATGTTGTTTAAGGATGTTTGACGTACAGTTGCAAAGAGTGCTGGAAGTGTCCCGGCTTTGCGGTTGTAGTAAACTCCCATCCAGAGTCACCAACCTCCCCAAGGGTGATCCCCAAACATACAGGTTCATAAGCCCTAGTGGTTGGTGGTTAATAAGTAATACATTTTACCAGTAGTACCGCACAAGGCGGTGGCGGAAGTTTCAAAAGATAGGAAACTATAGGAGAGATGAGTTGTGACGCATGGATGGCAGAGTGAACCCACTGATGGACCGAAAGGCGGTTGTGCTTTTGGAGTGGTTGCAGTGGTCACCTCACCCACGACTGCAGGATGTAGTGTGGTGTAGCGAAGTGCAATGTAATTGTAGTTGTATTTGTAGTTGTAGTGTAGTTGTAGGTTGTAGGTGCAGTTGTAGTTGTAGTGCAGTTGTAGTTGCAGTTGTAGGTGTAGTGGTAGTTGTTGTTGTAGTATAGTTGAACCTGGAGTTGTAGTTGTAGCTGCAGTGTAGTTTCCTGGTAGTGGTAGTGGTAGTTGTAGCTGCAGTTGTAGGTGTAGTGTAGCGTAGTTGTAGTTGTAGTTGCATCTATCGTTGTAGCTGTAGCCTAGTGTAGTGTATTGGTAGTAGTTGTTGTAGATTGTAGTTGTAGTTGTTGTAGTTGAAGTATGTTGAAGTGAAGCTGAAGTTTTATTTGTGGTGTAGTTGTAGTTGCAGCTGCAGTTGTAGTGTAGTGTAGTTGTAGTAGTTGCAGTAGTTGTAGTAGTTGTAGTAGTAGTAGTAGTAGTAGTAGTAGTAGTAATAGTTGCAGTTGTAGTTGTAGTTGTAGTTGTAGTGCTGTGTAGCGGTAATTGTAGTTGTAGTTGTAGTTCTAGTGTAGTGTCGTTGCAGTTGTCTATCTATCTGTCTATCTGTTTACCTATCTGTCTGTCTGTCTGTCTGTCTGTCTGGCCATCTTTCTGTCTATCTATCTTTATCTATATCTATAAATCTATCTATCTGTCTATCTGCAAGCTTGAAAACGAAGCTATTCTGCGTGACTTCCTCAATCTTTGAACTTGGCAACATCAAAAACGCGGCAACTCTGCCACACTTCCTCAATTTTGAACTTGACACCGTCAAAAACGAAGCAATGCTGCGAGACTTCCTTAGTTTTCCAAGTTGACAACATCAAAAATGCAGCAATTCTGCGACACGTCCTCAATTTTGAACTTGACACCGTCAAAAACGAAGCAATGCTGCGAGACTTCCTTAGTTTTCCAAGTTGACAACATCAAAAACAAAGCAATTCTGCGAGACGTCCTTCAAAAATGGAAAGTTGAGTGAGTGCAGAGCCGACGGCCTCGTACCAATGCGTTTTGCGATTTTTCAATTCCATCTGTTTAAAGTACTGCGCCTGCCACGAAAAAGTGAAGCCAGGTCATACGAAGTGCTGCACCTGTCACGCGAAAACATCTGACCAAAACTGAAGATCTGATGCTCCAAAATGCAACCCCTCTCAGGAAATCAGCCCGGACCTCCTAACATCTCTGATGAACATGTCTCTTGTACTGCGCCCGCCACGCAAAATGCATCTTTGCAGGTCCTCTTCAAATGTCCCACGCCTGCCAACGCTTTTGAAAGTGCTCCAAAACCATCACATTCTGCTGACTTTTGACAAGGTGCGCAATCCTTTTGCGCCTGCCGCCTGCCACGCAAAACGACAACTGAGCGTCCAAAAGTGCTCCGAACCCGTCAGCTTTTTACACTTTTGACTTTGAAATGTGTTTCGTGCCACAACGCCGTTCACTTTTCAACATATCACCTTCCAAAAGTGCTCCGAGAATGGTGTGTTTTGTACGTTTTTACTTCGAAAGGTGCTTCGCGCCAAAACGGCGTGCAATTTTTTCGACATCTCAACTTCCAAAAGTGCTCCGAGACCGCCAGTATCCGTCAGTTTTTAGCACTTTTGACTTCAAAATGTCCTTCGTGCCACAATGGCGTGCAATTTTTCATCTCTCATCTGGCCAGATGGCTCCGCACCCGCCGCTTTAGTGAGCCTACTATTCGACCCTCCAGAGCCAAAAACAGAGTGTTTCGTGACTTTTCTACCTTTTCACGCACCTGCATCTTCTTTCTTCTGACTCTTTCTCTTCTCTGATCTTCTTGCTTCTTCTCTTCTCTTCT